GTTGTCTCACTAATTTAATTAATCAAAGAAATGGTTTAGATACTAGAATTAATGAAAGTGGTGATAATTTAAGTGCTGGTGAAAAACAACTAATGTGTATTGCTAGAGCTATATTAAAGAGAGCAAAATTAATTTTAATTGATGAAGCTACAGCAAATATAGATATTGAAACTGAGTAAAAAATATTAAAAGTGATTTAAAATTAATTCTCAAATTGCACTGTTTTAATTATTGCTCACCGTATAAATACTATTATGTTATGTGAAAAGTAATTATATATAAAAAATTTTTTAGAATTTTGGTAATCGACAAAGGAATTCTAGTTGAAGAGGGTTCAACCTAAGATTTGGTTAATAATCCATCATCCATTTTTTATAACATATATTAAGAAGTAATTAAAAATATAGTATAATGAAAATTAATTATTTAATAAATTGGTTATTGATATATTTACGTAATTATATCAATTAATAATTATTTCATTAATAATATTTAAGATGCAATTTTTAAATAAAAAGTTTAAATTGATAAATTATAGTTTGGCTTTATCTAATTAAAAATATATTATATTTAGATGATGCAAGTGTGAATTATTGTACAAGTACATATATTACATTTACAATCTTATTATTTATTAGAATAAATGTTTCATTTATTCAATTTAACATTATTTAAAAAATCTCTATATCTTTGGATGATAAAATATCATTATTTTAACTAATATATCCATAAAGAAATTCTAAAATACTCCATAATTTTTTTTTAATAAAGCCAATATCAGTAACTATTTATAAAATATAATCAATATTAATATAATTAATCTAATGAGAAGATAAAATAAACCTATTTTATCTCCCCTTAAATAAATTAAAAATATTGGTGAAAATAGGAATATTATTTTCAGAGATAATTTAACTTTAAGTATGTGGATTTATATGAAAGTTCCTCTATTTGAACACATCCATTTTTGAAATCAATGACAGATTCAATTTCTGTATTTCTCAAATACATCTATTTTAGTTTTTTACAAATTATTAAATTATCTTCTAATCTTATACATCACAGATCATGATACTCAATTTTTTTCATAGTAAATCATATACTAAATTTTACGTCCCTTCTCGATTGAAAAATATCTATATAAACCAAATTTTTCCTTCAAAAAGTATTGTAATGTTTTAATTTAACATTTAGAATAAGAAAATATAAATAAAAACAAAAAATAATGAATTTTAATTATATAAATGGAAATCAAATGTTTTTAAGTAAACCTAGTAGTGGAGAATTTTGTTTGTTTTGCTTAAAAATCTATCAAGGTTAAATGCTTTAGATTAATTTCTGGAATTATCATTTGATATCAGAAGAACATTTAAAACATTAAATAATCAAATAGTTACTAAAAGAAATAATCTTATTGAAATCTTAGAGATGAAAGATAAAGATATATTTTAATTCGGTGAATCTCCAATTCCATATTTAATTAATTTATAATTATAATCAACAAAATTAATCTATGAAAATATGAAATGGCGAAATTTAGTAACTTGGATATTCAGTAGTAGAAATCTAATATATTGGGAGATAAAATGGGGATATTTTATCTCCCAAAATGGAATTTATACTCATATATATTGTATTTTGAAATAAGTTTCTGATAACTACTATATTTGAACTAATCAACCTTTTTTATCACAATATGAGTTTTATTACGAAATTTATGTTGATAACTTCTTATAAATCTAGTTAAATAGATGTATTTAAATTATGCAGTATTAGAAATTTCAAGTTACATAAAAACAAAAAAAATATATATGATGAAAAAGTTATTAGAAGTGTCTATTATAGATTAAAAGTTTAAAATTTTAGATCAAAAGTTCTCCTGAAAAGAATTAGAAAATAGCTGAACTAGTTTTATGTTAAAAATATTTGAAAAATTAAATATTCTTCAAAACTAATTTAATATAAATCACAAATGTAATTACTTTAATAGAGAATTATTGATGTTTTTATTGAGTTAATTGTATTATTAATTTCTGAAGGTTAAGGAGAGATTAAAAATTGAAATCAAAAATTTTATGTAGTTCGTGATTTAATTACAATACTTATGTTATTTTTTAAACAATGTTTTATGACTTGATGAAGCAAATTTATACTTAATCATTCATCACTCATTCTATATTTCTTTAAAGTGTTGTCAAAACACATAAGAATTTCTTTATTCCTTATAATGTCTTGGTTCTTTTGTTTTTAAAAATCTTAATCTCTTTGTCTGAATCATGATGTATTTAACTGCCTTAGTTTTCTATAACATTAAGACAATATATCTTCTTATGTTAAATTTGAAAGTTAATTATTGAAGGTTCTTTAAAGTAAAGTGATTAAAAGAAACGAATCTCAAAACATTTATTAGCCATTTTCTATTTGGCAATTTTTTTAGGTGATTCCATATCTTAATCTTTACTAATGAAGTTGAAAACTCAATCAATTTTCGTTGCCATGCAAATTAAATATGAAGTTCTAATATCATATAATTTACAAACAAATACTTTCTTCAAAGCTACTCGAAGTAAATATTCTTAAGTACTTATAAGGCATGAAATATGCAACAGTGATTGTTTAAGTTTCAAACTGCAAAAATATCGAAATTAACAGATTTATAATAAAAATTTTCAGTTTGAATCTTTCCCTTTAATAGAATCCAAAATTTTTTTTTTAATTATTCTAAATAATGAATTATCTAAGTAGATATTTCTTAAATAAAAGAAAAATCCAAGTATAACTAAAAAAATGATCACTAATAGATACTCAATTTGAAAATACTCTTGAAATACTTTATAAATTATGTATTTGACTAATATTAAAATATATATATTAATTTAAAAATAAAAAGATGCAATAAATCCAATGATTTAATTAATTCATGACGATTATTTATTTTGAAATAAAATATATATATTTTGAATTCAAAATAACAAAATACCTTCGTCAATAATGTATTATAATACATGTTCGAGTGTAGTTTTAAACAAATGAAGGAGGAAAACTATAGGAATGAGTAATAACTGCTATTTTGAGAATCTCAACACAGCTTTGATTGGTGCTTTGAATTTTGGAAATTTCTTAGCTATTTGAAGGAATTGGTAAAGCTTATAAATTTTAAGACTTTATAGCTTCAATTATAAATATAGCTCGAGACTATTATAAAATAAGATTAATGTGTTTAGTAATGGATAATTGTTTCTGTGCATAAATCACTTGAAATAATATATGTTTTAAGTCGCTTATCGATCAGAACTTAATGCTTTTGAAATGTTTGGTTGGCTAAAAAGAAAATTGGTAATATCATATCCTTCAATAACTTCTTAAAATATAGATTAGATCCGTCGAATCATTAGTGTGATCAATTGATTGAAGAATAGTGTGGGAGCATATTAATCCACAACTTTAAGAAATATAATTTATAAAGATAAAAAAAGTATAGATGCCCTAAAGCAAAATCAAGAGATAATGGTTCTTTACATTTTTAATTTTAATATTTTTATCGATGTAATAGAACAATGATTCCATGGCGGAATCTAATGAATTAAGAAATAACTTAAGAAGATTTCATCAATTCTTTTCAGATTGATTTTTTGTAAAAAATGAAATTAAAAATTAGAAGATTTTTTGTCACACTATTTTAATGCGACAAGAATTTCCATAGAATAATCCCAAATGGATTTCTTAAAATAAAATTAAATTAGTTTTTTGATGATTCATGTCAAAAAATATCTGAGATACTTCTATATTAGTTGACAGTTATTTCTTAATTAATAATAACAGTTAAAATAAATAAAAGTAATTTATATTGAACTTTAAATGTTGGTCTAAGAACACGAAAGTTAAATCTAAATCATTTAAAAAAGAATTAATTTTAGCATGCAAATAGTCATTGGCTTAAAAAATAATTATAATCAAATCCATCAAGGATTTTTGAAAAATATCAAGTATCATGATTTTTAGTATACAAAGTTGTGTGATGTATAAGATTGGAAGATAATTTAATAATTTGTAAAACACTATATATTTATTTGAGAAATACAGAAATTGGATCGGTCAATGATTTCAAAAATGGAGAAAATAATATTCCTCTTTATTAATTTATTTAAGGGTCTCATTAGATTAATTATATTAATATTAATTATATTTTATAAATAGTTACTGATATTGGCTATAAAAATGTATTAATAGAAGAATTTTACAAAAATATTTTTTAAATAGTTTCTAATTACATTTAATCTTAGCCTCTTTAATTAATTTTTCTAAAAATTGCCCAAAATTATATTACATTGCCCAGACATATTTAACGTTATTGAAACCCATTCGAATCAAAGCCAAAATTAACACATAAATTTTTTCATAAGTTAACTGATCTTCAAAATTTTTGTTTCCTTTACATTACCAACTAACTTCAAGTATTTCTAACGAACTACAATGTTAATTTTTTTAAATATATATTTGATCAAAACCAAATGTTTATTACAAGATGGTTTTTTTTATGTTTTGTCGATAATCATTGAAATTAATTGTTCCATAAGAATATTTACCCATTATTTATTGATAATTCAATAAAGTAACATTAAATATTTATCATTTGTTTTTAAAGCTATCACAGAATGCAATAATGATTATAAAAATGATAATTCTTAATCCTGAGAGTAATAATCAAAATAAGTCTTAAATTCTAAATCTAAATAAAGATATTTAATTAATGTTATTCTTTAAAATTACAAACTAGATTAAAAACAAAGAACATGATTTATCAAAAGTATTCTAAGTTTTTATTATAAATCAAATGTTTAACTTTCAGATCAAGATTATATTTTAATATAAGATGATCAAAACTTATTAGAAATACTATTATATTCATAAAGTTAGTGGAATTATTATTTATATTTGAAATTAATTCAATGAAACTGAAATATTGCACATTTACTTATAATTAGATATTTTTGTTCCTAATGATTTAATTTACTATTATTGAAGCCACATATACATTTGTTGCTAACAATGATGGTAATTTTGATGGTATTAAATTAATAAATGTATTAGATTGGGTTATATATAATTCAAATTCTCACCTCATAACGAATTGTGGAGATCAAGCAATTTTAGGTGGTATCGATTCATTTAATGAATATACTATCATTAGTAGAATGTTTAATGATTTGAATCCTCATTATTAAATTCGACTAGATTTCTGGATTTGGATGTAAATTAATATTTTATTAAAAGAATAGATTCAAATTCAATTACAGATATAGAAATTGAATTGGATTAACAGGATTATATAGAATCAATATCTTCATAATTACTTTAAGAAGTAAATTATTGTGGATAAGACGATAATGAATCTATTAAAAAAATATCATTTATATTAACACATACTAAATAAATAGGAATATTATTTGCTAAATTCAAGTATAATGATTAGTAAAGAGTAAAATTTAATGAATTATTGATAGATACAATGGGGTATGTAAAGGATGGAGTTAAACTTAGATTTGTGTTCGTTAGGATGTTCTTATTGTACTGGCCATAAAGAATCTGATTGCTAAAACTGGCAAAATTTGTCTTTTGATTTTCCGATAAATTTTTTCCTTAATCCAATTACATTTCTTAGTAGTTAAATTTATGAATTTAGTTAATATTATGAATGTTAAAGATGTGATTCAACAATAATCATAGAAATTGTTCAAACAAACTCAAACACTCATATTTTATCAAAGTAATATGATAATTGTATATTATAGTTAATAGTATATCATCAATGAAGACATAATCTTATAATTGTACGATGATGGGTCTTTGAAAATTATATTGATAGAGAAATATGGAATAGCAGAATTTAATTTCAGATTGTTCTCTAGGTAGGAACAATATATTCAATAAACTCAAATATAATACTAAATAAAATATCATGAGCATGAAAACATGTACCCATTTATGCCTGGTTGTATATATTACTTAAATAAGGAGTGTATACAATGTAATGATGGCTGGGAATTTAATAAAATAGATTCATTATGTTAGCCGATTTGTGGTAATAACAAAATTGAAGGATATGAAGCATGTGATGATGGGAACAATAAACCTTATGATGGATGTTTTGAATGCAAATATTAATGTATTTAAGATTGTATGAATTGTCAAAATGGAATTTGTGTACAGTGTACATATGGATTTAAATTAGATGAATATGGGAAAAAATGTTAGCCTATTTGTGGAGATGGAATATTAGTTCCACATACATCAGAATATTGCGATGATGGTAACTAAAATCGACAAGACGGATGCTTTAATTGTATGTATGAATGTAATTTATTCTGTTCAATTTGTATTTAATTTGAATGTTATTAATGCGAAGTGGGATTTTACTTGAAGAATGGTGTCTGCAATCCTAAATGTGGGGATTAAATTATTTTACCGGATTTCGAGGAATGTGATGATGGTAATGATAAAAATGACGATGGGTGTCATGAATGTAAGTTAGTTTGCGATAAAGGATGTGAAGTTTGTGAATAAGGTAAATGTCAAATTAATTGTGAACAAACATACGGAATAGGATTTTATTATATTAATGAATAATGTCAATCAATATGCGGAGATAGTATAATTACGGTAACAGAAGAGTATGATGATGGTAATAACATTTAATTTGATGGTTGTTTTAATTGTTAATATTCTTGTGAACAAAATTGTTTGGATTGTTAATAAGGATCATGTCTCAGATATCAAAATAATTGTGGTAAAGTGAAGGTATAAGATTAAGAGCAGTGCGATAATGGGAATGAAGATTAAAATGAAGGATGTTTTAATTGTTTTCTCGAACCTGGGTGGAAATGCGAATAAATATAAAAAAACGATTTTTGCAACTTAAATACTTCTCCTGTATTTATTTATAATTATTTATCAATATGGAAAAATCAATAATTAGTGTTATTTCAGTTTTCATAAAAAATTAAAGTTATAAATGGAATTAATTTGACAGAATCTATGATATTAGAAGTAAATAATATCTCAAAAAATCAATATTAATTGACAATTATTGATAAACTAGAGCCTTTATAAGATAGAGTTTAAGATGTATATTATTTAATATAAATTGAAATAAACTCATAAATTGATTTTAAACCTTACCTAAATATTGATTTAAATGCTACTATTCTTAATAATGATAATGATAGAATAGAAGAATCATAATATCAATTAAAATTGGAAGTACCACAATTTTTAAATCAAAAAGAAAAATAATTTAGTAAAAAAACAAAAGAGATAAATTCATACTTGATCTATATTTAAATTGCAATTGGAATCATTTCTTTGGTTTTAGGATAACCAACAGCATTTTTTGAAATATTGGACATTCTCCAATTTTTCTCATATTTTAAGTATATCTGTGTTTCTTTTCCATAAAATTTAGAGATATTTTTTGAAATTGGTAATCTAATAACTATTTCTCAAATATATGTTGTCATCAACTTTGAAGAAATTTATGAAAAAATAATTCCCTAATATGATATTACTCCATAATTTGGAAAATTTTTAATTTTTGGATTAAATGCAGATTTGTTATCAAACACAATCCCTTAAATGATTTAATTTTTATTAATTATACTATGTACAATATCAAGTAATTTTATTTACAGATTCATCTACTTCATAGTTTTGAATCATCAATTTGTTGTGTGCATGACTTATTTGTTTTCTAAAATCAATAGTAAATATATTGTTGCAATAAAAAAATTAATATATTAAGGAAGTAGAATATTCAATAGAATGAGAAAACATCTTAATAAGAAAAATGTAACAAATTTAATGATTATTAATGGATGGGATCTAATTTTTAAATCCCTTCTCTACCTAAAATCATTTGACAATTATTCACTCAGAAATTTGATCTCAATTATTCTTGCTTGTTTCATCTTGGCTTTTTATGGATTTATAACCCTTAATTAAATAAGCAATGTTTAATTTTAGAAGAAAAAGAAAAATATGATTCTTGAATAATAATATGAGTCTTTTAATTTAATAAAGTAGATTATATTTTTACTTGCTTTAATTTTGATTTAAACATCAGATATCATTTAAATAGCATTAATGCTAGCGATTAGTTTAACATCAATATTGGTAATATTAACTAAAAGAAAGAATAATTAGTTTCAAGATTTTATTTCAATCATTTTACAAGAAGGATCAATATTAATATTTATTTTAAGTTCCTTAGCTTATGCAAAAGATTTTTCTTCTACTTTATCTTATAATATAAAACTAATAATTGGATGGATTCACATTTTTCTCTTTTCATTTATTCTTATCTTAAAAATTATAAGGAATGCTAAAAATATAATCTTTATGTTGTAAAAAATTATGGCTAGTAAAAAACAATAAAGTTTCGAATTGAAGTTTTGAGAATTATGTTGCATGTTTAAAATTCATTTATAATCTGTTTTCTTTTATTTATTATTATTTACTTTATTCCAAGATTATCTAAGTTAATTCATCTGGTTTTTATGCTTTTACTTCTTTATTTTTATTTTCAAACAAATAAATATTGAGATTCAGATATTTGTTTTAAGATTTTAACTTTTAATTATACAAAATAGCTTAAATATTTTAATTTACTAATTCTCAATAATTAATGTTGTGACTATAAAAATACCTACAGTTCATCATATGGTTAATTTTTCTTATCATATTCTAT